CCCGCGACGTAAGAAGAGGTGAAGGAAGTAGTAAGGTGAGAATCGTGGAGTGTGGGAACTGGAAACCGTTTGTAGGAGTCAGAATAATGTATCTTCAATGCTGAAATGCTATTAGAAGGGATGGAAGCATGCCCACTACTTAGAAAATGGTGAAAGAAGTAGTAAAGGCTAGCAGTGCGAAGTGTGGGCAATGTTTGCGGCAATTATATTAACGTATCTAAAATACTAAAATGCTATGGAAAGTGATGAAAACAGGTCCACGATGTAGGAATTGGCTTAGGAAGTAGTTAAGTATGAGCATAATGTGAGAACCGTCTGTGGCAGTTAGATTAATGTATCTTCAATCCTAAAATGCTAAGAGAAGGGAAGGAAACAGGCCCCGCGACGTAGGAAGTGGCGAAGGAAGTATTAAAGGCTGGCATTGAAGAGTGAGGGAACCGTTTGGGCAGTTAGATAAATTTATCTAATACCATTATATAGTCAATATACCAATATATAATCAATGCTAATACTTAAATGCTACGAGAAGGGAAGGAAACAGGTCTATGACGTAGGAAATGGTGAAGGAAGTAGTAAGGCTTGCAGTGCAAAGTGTGGGAACTGTCTTTGGCAATTACATTAATGTATCTGCAATCCTAAAATGCTATGGGAAGAGAGGGAAACAGGTCCACGACGTAGGGGGTGATGAAGGAAGTAGTAAAGGAGCAGTGTTGAGTGTGGGAATGGATTAATGTATCTGCAATGCTAAAATGCTATGGGAAGAGACTGTAGACTGTGGGTTAAAATGATTACGAAGCACGAATCGATACATATTTCGATACATGCAATCGTTTACAATAGAAATTTACAACTGAATTGACAACAGCTGATTTTTACTCCATAGAGGCTAAAAACGATCTTTACTCCCTGAAGAGTAAAAATGCTACTTTAGACCCGCAACGCATGCATTAAAAACGACTGTTTTTACTGCAGTATGACAAAAACAATATAGTATGAACCCTTGATGACTCCGCTCAATTTTGTGGATGCCTCTGCAAACGCCACCTAGTATTAAAGACCTTTAATTCGCCGCCCTTAATCACTGCTTAATGCAGAATTGGCATCAAGTTGTGCCCATAAAGATTTATTATAAAGGAGGGTATGTGTTTTTTTTATAGAGCCTGCTGTCCAACCCCACCATTCTAAATATCCTCGCCGCATCAAACCTGTAGACTAAACGCATTTCCATTTGTCTAACTGTATTCCTACTTCATGCTTTAAAACCATAGATTTTTTGGGTCACCCCATACAAGGTTATTTGTTTTCTTAATCTCTAAAACACAGCTGTAATAAAATGTGGACATTTTCGTGTAAAAAAGGCAAAAATTTAAAGAATTTGAAATTGTTCAGCCTTATTATAATGATACGGTTTATAAACCTTGTTTCCATTACCCAATCTTGGTGGTTCCCGGGCTAAGTTAACTTTGCCCTACACATTCATAGGCCCCACCACGCCACCTACAGTAATATCGAGACAATTTTAATGTAAGCACCAGTTGGGTGTGATTTTGCTGATTATCACAGCTACAGGTCAGGTAAACGTCTAAAACTGGCCGCATCAGTGAGGCTTCTGAACCCTTACAGTAGACTCGCGCGATGAGTTCACTAACAGCATTACAGAACGGTCATCCACGTTCAGGCGGAGATAGCACGAGTATGACCGGTGACGTCACGGGAGCTGCATTGCAGCGGTTGACTTTCACGCGTATGACACGTGATATAACACAAACTTCAATAATAAAATTGGTCTTTAGGAGTATGACCGGTGACGTCACGGGAGCTGCATTGCAGCGGTTGACTTTCACGCGTATGACACGTGATATAACACAAACTTCAATAATAAGATTGGTCTTTAGGAGTATGACCGGTGACGTCACGGGAGCTGCATTGCAGCGGTTGACTTTCACGCGTATGACACGTGATATAACATAAACTTCAATAATAAGATTGGTCTTTAGGAGTATGACCGGTGACGTCACGGGAGCCGCATTGCAGCGGTTGACTTTCACGCGTATGACACGTGATATAGCACAAACTTCAATAATAAGATTGGTCTTTAGGAGTATGACCGGTGACGTCACGGGAGCTGCATTGCAGCGGTTGACTTTCACGCGTATGACACGTGATATAACACAAACTTCAACAATAAGATTGGTCTTTAGGAGTATGACCGGTGACGTCACGGGAGCTGTTCTGCAGTGGTCGACTCTCGCGAATATGAAACTGGATTTTGATAGACTTTAGAAGACAAGATTTATCTGTAGATGCTCAACTGCACCAATGGTCAGTGATATGATCTACCCAACTACCATACAGTTCCAAACTGCACCGATATTCCATTACGGGTGTACCAAATGCACTACGCCACTACGGTCAGTTCCTTCAGTTTGACACGCTATGGCTTGTTCAATCTATATATTTGATACGCCACATGCAAAGTGTGTTCCCAGCAAGGTTTTTTTTATAAGATTTATTCCCACGTATTAAACAACAAAACGCGTATCTACTGTGCAAATTTGCAAACTGTTTATAGATTTACGAATTATGCCGTAAAACTTGAAAAATGCAAAAACACATTTGTTTGTTTGCATATTTAATTTAAAGTTTAAGTTTAGAAAACCTAGCTGCTCCATTTGCTTATCCACTGAAACCTAACTAATATTTTTTTCCAGTGACCAACAATTGAAATGAAGATGCAACTACGGTATGCGCATTTTGACCAAAATATGAGTAAAGCGTGAGTGTAGAATTTATCGGTGTAAAAGATTTGAATTAGTTTACCACAGTTGATCAATAAATAGCGGAGGAGTTGCATTCTAACAAAACTACGCTCCAACCGTAAAAAATAGTAAAAAAATTCGGTTTTTTTAGGTATATCTTTGACATATTATGAAATATTATCAGGATTATGGGACCCTTAGTAACATAACAACTACTGCTTCCTTATAATTAAATCCCAGTCTCAACTATAACGTGAAAACTTTGTGTTTTAAATTGCAACAATATATCACAGTTACACGGGTTCTTAAATACCCCACATATTTTATTAAAATTGCTTTTAACCTGTATGTGCTTAGACAGGGGCGTCGCATTGGGGGGGGGGGGGGTAGGGAGGGGAGCCTCCCCCCCTAGAATCTGGGAAAGGGAAAAGTTGGGAATTTCCTTGCCACGAGTTGGGACAGTTGGGAAGTCAGATACAAGAAATTTAAACTAAACAAAATTTAAATATTTTCGAAATTCCATCAAAGATCAAAATTTCTTTGACTTTGACAAATAAACTTGACGCTTCTTTGATTTCATTTAACTTTCATTAAACAAGGCTAAACCATGGCTAAACACGCCTTATTTTAAGAAATCAATAATCAATTAGCGGTATAGCTTGTTGGAATTTCGTTTACGAGAAATTTTGTCCCTTATTGGACGTATGTTGGCTACCTTGATCCTGTCCTGTGTTGATGATTCTGAATGCTTTGTATGCGAGACTGCGAGTTTGAATTTTGAAAGTGCAAGCAATGTAGCTCTTCTGTTCAATTATGTTGTTTGTTAGTGTTTGCAAGAAATTCAAAAATATTTTTCACGTCAGTCACATGAAATATATTTTAAACCTTTTTTGTGGTATTTGGAGCAGGCTAACTGACCGGAGTACTTGCTAATAAGCAGATTAAAATAACATTAAAGATAGGTTTTGTGTATCGGTATTAACTTTAAAACTCTTATTTTTTGTAATAACCTAAATGGAATAGTTATTCTCTGAATATATTTAAAAAATCTACACAAGTTATTTATCATTCCTAATTAAGGATTTACAAAAATGAATCAACTAATCACTCTGAAACAGATCTACGTGGACAAAACATAACCTAAAATTTGATGTTTTACTTTCACTCTAAGTTTGATTTTTGTTTAAGTTCTAGTTTGATGAAGATGAAGGTTAACATTTTTATTGTATGTATAGGTTTATTATCAACCAAGTTAAACGTTTTTATTTCATACGAGTCTTATTTTAGGTTTATTCTTTTTTAGACTAGAATAATATTATTCACAACACTGATATTAATATATCATCATTACAAACTTGTTTAGGCCTACCCCAGTCGTAAGTTTTATGAAAGTTAAAATGTTGATCTTAACTTCTAAAAGTATTTTAATTTAATTATTTTTTAATAAAATATTTTTTCTATACTAATTTGTACTCTGAGGCTTATTTTATATCCCTAAAATTTTACACTGCTACGTCTCCTACGTCTGGTTTGTAAAATTTTTGGATTCGAAACATTACTTGTTCAAGTTTTTTGAAGTCATAAAATTTCATTATGAATTGGTAGAAGTTTTAGAAATTGAGTAATTTTGTATATATGTAAAACTAGCTATGTTTTGTTAATGCAAGTTTATAAATACTAAATTGAGTGTTACTGCAGTGTATAATAATTTGTAGATTTTTAAAAATAGTACAGAAATTGATTTCTACAAAAAAATAGTTGGGAAATCTATGTTGAGCAGTTGGGAAATTTGAGGCTTCTCCCCCCCCCTAGAATTTAACCAAGCAACGCCACTGTGCTTAGATACAAACCGACAAGATGATTAGATGATATAAAACAGCAAGCCTCGTGTAATAGTGAGAACAAGTCATGTGGCTAACAATGACGACTAGAGGGCACTACAGGGTGGATAGGGACAAGAACCCTCCCTACACGTCAACAGTCCTCTAGTGTAGACTGGGACTGGGACTTGAATTTACTTTCAAATTACACAGTTGTTAACACTTTCGGCATTCCTCACTCTATAATAATTACCCAGCTATAACGTTATTCCTAAGTCATAATATGATTATCACTGACTACATTCGAGCTAATTATTGAATTACTTTGAATCAGTATAGTCGAAGTTCTGTAGACTAACTATACGTTAAGGATTGTCCATCCTTACGTTTTAAAACTAGTGAAAAATACATAAAAACTCAATAGTGTAATGCATATTTATTGTTAAAGTTAGTAACAAAAAAGGGTAACACTTTGTTCTTTGGAGTTCAGTCTACTTGTCGTGTTGATATTTTAATAACGTACCACAATGACTAGCAACTATGGCACTCTAGATCTGCGATGCAGTTGGGATTTCATTGATCACCCTTACAATTTGTAGACTGCAGGAGAGAAGTTGATTCTAAATGCTTAAGTTCTAGTTCAGTCACGACAGTAAATATTTTTGATTTTGTTTCTACCTTTAACTTAGGTGAAAACTTTTTTACTGTCGCTGCCATCGCTTTGAAGAAAAGCTCTATTTCGTCATCGGGCCCATCTTGTTCCGAAACGATGCTTTTTACTTCTGGTTCTTGATCAGTCAGTCGTTCCTTCATTTCTTGCAAAGCCTCTTTAAGTTGGGATTCAAGGGTACCAGATTTGTTTCCTATTTCTTCCGATTTCTTAAGAAATTCGTTTTTGCCTATACTTCTTGCAAGATCGGTACGTAGCTCTTGTTCGTCAACACTTGTATGATCTTCCTCGTTTAGTTTTCGCCTTTTTCTTGGAATATTTGCTGTTGAAACCTCATCTAACTCACTTCCATTTATATGATTCTGGCAGTCAACAAAGTCAAATCCTTCGGTGTCTTCGGACATTTCAACTTGTACATTTGGAAAAGCTGAGTATGTTGTCAACTCGTCCTGGTCATCTGTATCGTCCAAGAAACTCAGACTGTTCCAATAGACTTGTCTTCTCTTTATTGCTGGTACGTGTGCAGCTCCGTTCTTCTCTTCTTTCTTCTGCTTCTTATAATAGTCTCTGATGCTTCTCCAGCGAGATTTGCACTCTTGCCCTGTAACAGGAAAACATTTGATACATAAAAATCAACTTTGAAACAAAAACCTTGTCTGATTGCTGCAATGTGCACAGAATTGATCTGAACTGGTGAAATTTAGCATACTTGAAAATGTCTATGGGCTAGTGAGATAAATGCAAAGATTTAAAAAGTAGCAGTATTTTGGAAAATTCTGTCCACAACCTAAAATTATTATTACTAGTGACATGCACCTCTATTTTAATTTCTACACAGTAATATAAATAATTAAAAGGTATTCACAAGTTTTTAGTTTCCGTTGAAATGATACATCTTTGGCTTCAAGTTTTAGGTTTAGGGCTTCATTCCTCCTTTATACAGGGTGTTTCCAAATTGTCTGGACATATTTTGTGAACTTGTTCCTTGGGCCAAGACAAACATAAAATGAATATAATTATGGGTTTAAACTGCCTAGATTTCTGTTTGTCGATCCGTTTGTGATTTTAGCGAATTTCCCTATAGGGAAGTAGCTATTACCGTAGGTGGCACGGTAAGACCTAGACCCGGGACCGATTTACTTTTTCATTTTGATGTCCCCAGAGGCCAAAAACACCATTCGTTCAAATTTTTATATATGTATATATATATATATATATATATACGTCCGTGAACGCGATAACTTGATAACTTGATAACTTTGGTTTAAAGGTGTAAAGCGGGATAAACTTGAATGAGTTCGCAAACCAGCACGATCGGACCATGGGAACGGGGCTTTACGGGGGGTTTTATGGGGTAAAAATTGGTTTTTCTCACTTTTGACCCTCAAAACACAAAATTTCCCGATTTCTCTTTAGACCTTTTTAAAGAGCTTAAAAAAACAAATAATTTAGTATATAAAAGTATTTTTATTCGATTATTAGTAACGGAGAAAATTAAAAAAATTTTAAATTTAAAATTCCCATGTTATTCTTATGGAGAATATTGTCAAATGTTGTAGTTTGCTTGTTTATGGATATATTTTGATCAAACTTGGCAAATTTATTTATTTTGTACTAAGCTATCAATATTTTACTCAAAAACACACTTTACTAGTTTCCTTGTAGCAGCAAACCTAGGTACTCGTTAAACCTAATGTTATTAAAATATATTTAACTGAAAATCAATTCAGACAAATGGAAATTCGCTTAGTCGGCAGGTTTGCTGCGGCGGAGGTATTTAAGAATTATTTTATATCGGGGGCATTTTTCAAGATGAAAATTTCAAAATTAGTTTAAATGTGTATTTTAGTAGATAAAAAGAGCTTACAAAGTTTCGTTCCAATATCTCAAACCGTTTCAATATGGTAGCCATTTAAAGTCTTTAATGCCAAATTTCATGAAAACTGTAAATATTAAGAAAATTGTTTTTCAAATAAGAAAGATAGAGAATTCAAATCCAAATAAAATGAGACCTTGTTTGTTAAAATCGGATGGCAAACAACAGAATTATCAGTTTTCTTCTACATTCGGTTAAGCAATTTAATAGAACTTCCATATTATATTGTCTATTATTCGTTATTTTACAGAGCAGTATGGTAGTCCTATTAAATTGCTTAGCCGAATGTAGAAAAAAACTAATGACTCGGTTTTTTGTCATCCGACCTCATTTGATTTTGATTTAAATTCTCTATCTTTTTGATCTGAAATCAATTTTCTTAATATATACAGTTTTCATGAAATTAGGCATTAAAGATTTTAAATGGCCACCATATTGAAATGGCTTGAGATATTGGAACGAAACTTTGTAAGCTCTTCTTACCTACTAAAATACACATATACCAATGATTTTTAGTTGTAAAATGGGGCAAGCCTGATTAGCTTCTGCCTCATTCCACCCCATTTTACAACTAGAAATCGTATTATTTCAGCTATTTCTTATTCGATCTTTTTGAGCTTGGTATCGTTTGAAAGATAATTAAAAATGATTAATAAAGGTGTTCTTGACATTTTTTCATAAAACCATCCATTTGCGAGTAATTTAAATTAACAAAATTTTAAATGGCTGCCATTTTGAGATTTTAGGTTGTACTAAGATAAAATTTTTTCATAAAACGGGTCTCGTATATCCCAACATACATACCAAGTTGCACAAAGATCGGATAAAAAAAATTAAAAGATAAAAAGTTTATGTAAAAAATACAAAATGGCGGATATCTGGTTAACGAAGCGATTTTGGAAAAAATGTTATTCCTGATTTTCTCTTTATTTTGATTTAAGGAATCACTAGGTAAAATATGTCCCCACCTGTTCGAACACCCTGTATAAGTAGCTTTGACTATAGTTTATGTTTATACAAAGGGCAGTTTACTCTAAAATATTACTTCCTTTACAGTTTCTCAATTATTTTTACCATTTCTAATTTACATTTTGTTTTTAAGCATACAAAGGCAGTTAGCCAAACTTAATATCTGTAAAGATTATACAGGGTGATTGGTACTCAGTGTGACAAAACTTTTTTGGTGTAAGTACAAAGTAAATGCAGTGTAATGATGCATATAACAGGTTCCAAGTCTACACTATGCTACACTATTGAGGTTTAGATATTTTTTGTTAGTGGTTTGAATACCAGAAAACAGGGAACTTTTTTACTGTTTTTACTGTTCAAGCTGAAACAAAAATACAACTTTTGCTTAATACATGCCGACTTTCTATGTTTTAAATGTTGAAGACACCATGCTTTGTAGTCTTCAAACCACTAAAGCGTACATAAGCAGACATAAAGCTCAATGGTGTAGCATATGGTTGGAAAGCTTATAAAATGGCGCAGTTTTTAACATATTCCGACACTTTCTTGTATACAGGGTGTGAACAAATGCAATAGACCAATGTTTTTATTTTTTTATTTTTATCAAACATCTTAATTTTTATCTTTGAATCTATTTACAATGGAGTTTTTACAACTGATCCCCCTCATTTTCTATTATTCTTATTCAAAATTTAATGTTGAACACGAAAATGACATTATCCACTCAAATCCATTTACAGGTAATTGAGAAATAGCTATATTAAGTTAAAAAAAGTAGTTATTTAAAAAAAAAAAAAACATAAATAATTCTTTGGGAAGCACACTGCATTCACACTGCATTTACTTTGTACTTACATTAAAAAAATGGACGTGTATCAGTCCACGCTCACCCGTGTTCGAAGGTTATTCTCAGATCTCGATCAGTGTTGTGTCGTGTTCTGTGTCTAGTGGCTTTACTAACTGTTTGTGCATCGTAGTCAGATTCGTATGTCGAAGACAATTGAACAGTATTTCACGCCAGCGTCGAGAAACCCTAAACGTCAACGTGGTTCGAGCTCTCCAGGTGATCTTAACCTACAATCGGACGACATGGAAAACGAGTTAGTTGGACAGCTCTCAGTTGCAGGTTTGAGTAAATTATTGGAAGAAAAACTTGCTAATTTAGCAACAAAAAATGACTTGAGTGTACTTTCAACTCAAATTAATCTGCTGAAGGAAGAAAACGTTAGTTTGCGTGAGGAGGTTATGTCTCTGAGATTGAGTGAGAAAAAAATCATGGACAAACTCACTGATCTAGAATCAAGGTCCCGTAGGAATAATCTGATTTTTAAAGGCTTAAAAGTTTCTCCTCAAACCAAGGACTTTAGGCAGTTAATTGTTAAATTCTGCAATGACAAGTTTGGAATGAGTGATACGTTATGGGTTAACCGTGCTCATCCTCTAGGGAAGGACAGAAACTTAATAATCGCACACTTTCCCGATGATCATGATATACAATATATAATGGCGAGGGTGAGGGATCTTAAGGGCACGGGTGTTAGTGTATTTCGTGATTTCCCGCTAGAGGTGCGATACAAACGTGCGAGACTAGCCGCAGTGCGGGATGAACTAGAACGCGTTGGTGGAAAGACTAAAATTCCAATGATTTACGACCATATCATCGTGAAGAACTGCAGGTTCACATGGGACCAAGATCGACTAATGGCTGGAGACGAGGACGGAGCAGAGAAGTTAAGCAAGATGTTTAAACATGACTTCAGAGGATTTATAGAGAAGCTTAAGCAAGATGGTCCCACGAAAGCTAAGCCTCAACAAGCTCCTGATATTCCATCCAGAGAGTCGACAGCAGCATCCTTGCCTCTGGACCACGGGTCGACGATGAGTCCGACCACGCCTGCTGTGAACAGAGGAGCCGCCTTAAGCTACGCCGCCGCCACCAATGGAGTGTGAGGACGCCACGCCGATCTGGAGGACAACGCAGTACGAGCAACAGAGCAGCATCCGGTAACCAGCAGACACTTGAATGTATTGTGTTATAATGTTTCTGGTCTTAAAAATAAGGTAAATGATTTTGATTTTTTAAATTTGATTGTTAATTATGATTTAATATTTTTACTTGAGACGTTTATATCTGAACGGGAAAAAGATTATGTTATCCAACGATTAAAAAATTTTGAGGTATATTTTGTGTTTGCAACTAGGGTTTCAAATTATGGTAGAAATGTAGGAGGTATAGTTTGCTTGAAAAACTTAAATTCACCTTTTGCTAAAAACATTAAACTTGTACAAGATAGTGGCTATAATTTGTTTGAAATTCACAATAGTTTGCCTGAGAATCGTAAAATCTGTGTTATGCCTGTGTATCTTAATTTTAATTCATGGGAATATGATTTTACTAATTTTGAACTGTTCTTGAATACAAAGTATAGAGACAATTTACTGATATTAGGTGATATGAATGGTAGAATTGCTTGTGAACAAACATTTTCTGATAGGATAATAGAAACTCTAAACAATAATTTAAGTGATGTAAGGAAATCAAACGATTCGGTAATTAACACTCGAGGTAGAAAACTTTTAAGGGCTATAGAAAATCTAGGTTTAGTTATTTTGAACGGCAGGAGCAAAAGTGATGCAAGCGGTAATTTTACATTTATAGGGGCGATGGGGAGTTCAGTAATCGATTTCGCCATGGTATCATTAAATTGCTTAAATTTTATCCACGATTTTAAAGTTGTGAACCATCCAGGGTCAGA